CCAAAAGAAGGGGGCAGAAACATCCTAGAGCTCCATCAAATCATGCTTCTTGTATTTAAAAATAAGTAGCCGTCTACTCCTTTAACATCTCTATAAAGATACACATGTGTGGCAGCAGAAGCATCTGTTGCAGTGAAAGATTTAGGTCACCTTCTGAAATTCAAGTCTCCTACCGGCAAATGACAAGGGAGGTTGAAAAATACATTACTGTTTGTGTCTGCACACAATCTACCATATCCGCAGGCAATCAAGTTCCTAGGGAGTGCTGTAACACTTCTCCAAATCAGTGAGGGTCAAAAGATTATCTTTACCTGCATATTTTTGGGGGGTTAGGCGTATCCTCAGACATTGTAATATTTATGATGACAGGGCTATCCTATCCCCAGCCAAACGGCAAAAGAAGTAGCTGGGAAAGGAACTCCCACATTAAACACACCCTCATTTATCCACAAGACCTATTTTTCACCTTCCTGGAATTCCCTGCTCTGCATCAGAGACTGCATTATTTATTAGCCTTACAATTTAGGCAGTACACCCATCATTCTTTTCCCCCCCAACTATTTTGGTTGCAATTCAGCTTCCAAAACTAATAAAGAATTCTTTCATAGAGCAATTTGTGTGGTCTTCTGACTTCCAGCACTCCAAACCCACATTATGCTTTAAAAAAAAAAAAAAGTAGAGGAACAGTCCAGGTAAATGCAAGCACTGGGAGAGATTTAAGCACATTTCACTAAAGCCAGTGTTATTTACTTAATTTTGTTAAGGTTCTATTCTGCCATTCTTCCAAGAAGCTTAGGTAGCCGACCTCCGAAGTGGTTTCCCTCCCCACCATATGTGTATGTAATAGATAGCACATATAATGTGTATATATAATTCCAGCCATTGCACCACACTGGCTCTGGCAAGAATTTCTTCTCTTGGGTCCCCTTACCATTGATAAAATTGCAACGCTCAGAACTTTCCATTTTGCAAATGTACTGTCTTTCATGGTTGTTATAAATCATGCTGAATGAATGAATGGGATGAAGAGCTTGACGCTTGAAGCTGGTTGGGGCTGATATCTATCCCAGCATTGATGCCAAGAGTTTAGCACCATGATCTTGGATATTGCATCTGGATCGCATCCAGTTTTGGAGCTTAGTGATTACTGCCTCAAACTGGGGAAATGTTCCTGTGTAAAAATTATGCTTCTGCACTGGTCTTCCCCCATGTTGAAAATTAATACCCAACCTTCCTCTAGTTGACTGCCTGTAGGACCCAAATCGGATGGAATATGTCACCCACCCAACCATTCATTCGTTTCCAAAAAGATATTTCTGAACCACCACCTTTCCCATGAACAACAAATATTATTCCAGGTCTTCTTAGGCAATCAATACTTTTTTGCTTGCAAAATGTTAATTACCGGAGCCAGTATCACAGCATCATCTCAGTGGGTAAAAATATTTTTAACATGAATAATCTTTGCTATTTTGAATGATAACGATGGGATTTCCGACAGAGTGTATACAAGTTCTGTTACCAAAGGCCATGTCAGCCAATGCAGCGAAAATCAAGAATTAATTGTAATACATAAACCAGTCTTCAAACTACTATAACAGTGTGAGCCTTATTGAAGTATATTGTACCACATTGCCTCCCTCTGATCCTCAAAAATAGTTGAGCTGGCTGAACTGAATAAATGCATGAATTGGTGGAGGGAGAGAGCTTTGAAGATGGCCCTGCCCTTTTCTCTCTTAATGAAAACAAACGGGCTAGCAAAATAGTCCCTGGAAAGATTAATGTGCTGCTTAAATGTCAATTAAGGCACTTTAGGTGGAGGCAGAGGAGGACACCCATACTAAAAGAGTTAAGTGGAAAACTACAAGGCTAAAAGTTGTTGAACTCTGGGAAGAATCGTGCATCAGCAACCGTTTCTCCCTCTAATCCATCTACCCCCACTTAAATTTGTATCTGGCTATTATGATGCTTTTCCTGGAATCGAAGTCTGCATAATATAATGATTCATTGGCTAATCTCTTTGCTGACCGAAGAAAAAGTATGAGCCTTGTGAGGTTTATAAAGCAGGTAAAAATGTGCAATATGCACAAAGTATATAACTAATACTATACCCATTTGGGATGGAACTTTCTGAGCCTGAAGGTCTCATGTGTGGCATTCTGCCTACCAATTTCAAGCAGACAGGTGGACGGTCTCTATTTAAATGCATAAAAAACCTCTCACAAAAGAGACATTTGACACCCCAAGAAGACAAGCAGCAGGGCAGAAGAGGCGGAGCTAGAATAGCAGCTTGTGTGCTCTGGTTCTTGGGTTGCTGGCCCCCAGGTCCCAGCGGGGATTCCTCTGCTTTTGAGGGCTCCAATCCACCGCTGGCCAGCTGGCTGGCAGGGGAAACCCCACCGCCAAACAGGGATGTCCCCAGTGCGATGACGTCACCCGGAAGTGATGCCATCATTTCAGCAATGTCATGTGGCAATGCTCTGGTTTTTGGGTAAACTCTGTGGTTTTGAAGCCAAAAAACCATAAGAGTTTTTGCCCAAAAAACAGAGCATTGCGTGTGACGTATTGCCCACCCCCAAGATGCCCCCCAACCCCCTCCTACTCTGATGGCAAGGGGACCTGGCAACCCTATCTGGTTCTGTCAGCAGGGTCCTAAAGCAGGCTACAGACTCCCCAGGAGCAGGGATCTGTCCTCCAGAGCAGTATGGAGGTTGAAGTCACAAACGACGTTTAGCTAGGTCGAGGTTCACAGGGATAGCAGAAGCACACTAGCCATGTGAACTGGTTGAACCAGCAAGGCTCTCTGTTTACCCCAGGGCTGTTTCTGGGCTTCATCTAGCCAGATCCTGATTCAGCCACAATCCTGCATATATGTGCCTTGGTTTGAGTCAGTAGCTGGAACACAAGCCACCAGCTGAGCACCTCAATGTTGAGTTGCCTCCTCATTGTCCCACTGTTATATATTAGGTCTCTCATAAAGAAATGTGCACACCAAGGCCTCAGTAACAGAACGACAACTTGAACAAAGTTTGAGACCTCCTTATCAAAAGAGAAAACAATTACTGGCAGAAACACTGCACAGAGATCTAGCAATGCAATCTTCTTTAGTGGTGAGATGGGTATTGTGTTGATTGGTCAATGTCCAGGTCACTTACTTTATCTGCTAACTCACTCCCTTTCGCCTCATGCTCTCAACGTCTGTACTGGTCTGTAAAACAGTTAGCAAGGAGCCAGAATGCTGAGAATGAATGATAGTCTCACATTATTACCAAGTGCCTCCCATCTATTTGATTAGTTAATATCATTATTTTAAAGAATGGGGTGTTTTCAACTTGTTTCTTGATTAGTTAATGCCTGATGGTAAGTCATAGGATTGCCAACTCTGGGTTGGGAAATTCCTGGAGATTTGGGGATAGAGCTTGGGGAGGACGGTGACCTTAGTGGGGTATAATGCAATTGAGTCCTGCTGCCAAAGCGGCCATTTTCTCCAGGGGAACTGATCTATGTAGTCTGGAGATCAGTTGTAATTCCAGCTCTCCAAGCCCCACCTGGAGGTTGGCGATCCTTATTAATAAGGATACTCCAGCATTTGCGTGTAGCTTTTATTTTTCTTTTGCTTTTCAAAACAATGTTCTCTCAATGCAGTCCTAAACAAAGTTATAGTGTTCTAAGTCCCTTGACTTCAGTGGATTAAAAGAGTGCAGCTGTTAAATGTTGAATGCCGGAGATTTTGCTGGGTCACACCACAGTTAAAAATTGAAGTCAGTGGGCCTATATTGGTGCAACTGCATAGGATTGCACTATATATTATTTTATTTATTTATTTATTGAATTTCTACCCCGCCTTCCCGGCCGAAGCCGGTTCAGGGTGGCTTACATAAAAACAGGTAAGTTACGTTAAAACATAAGTTACAATTAAAACAATTCTAAAACCATAATAAAGTGCTAGTAGTCATTGTTGCTCATATGACGGTAGTCCAATCTTGAGGTGACCATCACATGGATCACTGTTGCCAGGTCATTGCATTTGAGGAAGGGAACGAGCTGCCTGATCAGCCGAAGATGGTAAAAGGCCAACTTGGCAGTGGCTGCTATTACAGAAAAGTAGTGCATTTTAAGTTAATTTGTTTTGGGAAAGGGAAGGGAACCTGCCATTTTCAGCACCTCAGATCCAACCAGGAGTCTCCAGCAACTGCATTTCAAAGAGGAGGGAGACTTGATCATAGTTTCCAGCATCTCATCAAGTGTAGCTCTACATCTGAGATTCTTTAAGGTGCCACAAACCTCCTGTCTGGTTTTGCACAACAATCACTTTTCAGTAATGCCAATTATTGCATTTTGATTATTTATTGCATTTTTTAAAATCCAATGTCGCTTTCTGTGCTGCAAACAGCCACTATCCGTTCCCATGTCGATGCACGCATTTATTGTAAGTTGTATAGGGTGGTGATGGGTTTTTTTCCAAATAAATTTTATATTTTTTTTAATGGGGGGGGAATCCTTCAGAACTAAAGTTTTAAAAAAATAATCACACCAAAGTAAAACTGGTAACTCTTGTACCAGCCATGAATAATTAGAGTTATGTATTTGGCAGTTGTTGGCGTGGCAGGCTTTATACCCGGAAGCCTTACACATTCAGCAGTGGCTCCCATTTATCTTAAGAGCTTACATGTGATTTCAAGATCAAAGCCATGGCTAGTTGATCCTTGTTTGAATATGTGGGCCCATTGTTGATCATTGCAGATTCCTTCTTTATTTCTTTTCTTTTTTTTTGAGCACCACCAAAAAGCTTTTATTATTAATGTGCTGTAACTGTAATATATTGTAAGACTGAGGGGAAACATCCAGGAAATCAATGATCTGGAACATTTGTTACTTTCCTTTTTGGCATATTGCACTTAACATCAGGAGGTGACTTGAAATAAAACATTCTGTGTTTATTCTCGTTTGACATCCTGTGGTAAAATCAATAACTGCATTTCCTTTGTCTTTTCACCCAGGTTCTTCGGGTGGTCCGACTTATAAAGATTTCGCCTGCCCTGGAAGACTTTGTGTATAAGATTTTTGGACCTGGAAAAAAGCTTGGGAGTTTAGTTGTTTTCACTGCCAGCTTATTAATTGTAATGTCAGCAATCAGTCTGCAGATGTTCTGTTTTGTGGAAGAGCTAGACAGATTTACGACGTTTCCAAGGGTAAGTGTAAAAAAAAAAAAAAGAAACAGTTATACTGCTGTCATTTTCTTACAAATGTCTTTTTTATCTATCTTTGTTAATACCAACTGTTCAGATGGTAAGGGGGGTGTTGTTCATATATGGTGGATGGATTTATTTTGGCTTGGTTCTGTGGCTCTGTGGAACATAGTGAACCACACAGAAAGTTGGGATGTAAATGTTTCAGTAAATGAATAAATAATTTATGGTTTTTAAAATCAGGTATGGATATATGTGTTGGTTTCTGTCGTATCTTTTTTTTTCTCTTCCAAATTGTTCAGAAGACTATATGTTAGGTTGGATCCAGCCATCTTTTCCACTGGTGAAAATAGATAGAGGGGTCTCCTTTAACTACCCCCCCAAAAAGGCTATGCTAGGGATCATGGGATCTGAGTGGACAAAAGCTATATGGGATAGGGGGCTGTGGTAATGAGGATAATGGGGTGAGATTGAGTGAAAAGCTGGCAGGATCCAGCCCATTGATTTCCAAGGGTTATCATATCAAGTATGGGTCAGCCAGGTATTCGGTCTTGCATAGCTTCAGAAGCAGAGCCCAGACATGGATGGACATTCAGATTCCATCAGAGGTAAAGAACTAGCTGAAGAGTTTTCTTTAGGGTGGTTTTTAAAAATGTAAATGTTGAAGAGTAACTCAGAATGACACTTGGTTCTGACCAAGCAAGAATCTTTCATTAGCTCATTTTCAGGGCACAATGCAGTTTAGAGTCAAACAGGCCAAAGATCCCATCTTCAAAGACCAATATTTTGTTGACTGTCAAGTCAGTGCCTGGTATGTCAGACATTTAGCCCCAAAGCAAAGTGAAAACTCCAAAAGAAGACATACAAAAATTAGAGAGGACAAGTCTGGCTTTACTCTGACATGGGGTGAGACAGCCATGTCGGGTGGTGTGTTATGGGCACTCGTAAAGATTAGCAACTGGGGATATAATTTGGATTTTCCACCAAGTGCTAAAATGTCTTGGACGAATCTCAGAGAAGGAGCTGAAGATGTTGTACCAGAGAGGGCTAGATTTATGATAAGGCTTTTCAAAAAAAAAAAAAAAAAGGTTGTGGCCATCCATCCCAGGATTCTCTCCAACATCTGATTGTTTGCCAGCTGCTCTGATCTTACAGAGTATTGTTGTTTGGTGAGATAGTTTTGGACTTCATTAGAGACTCTGTACAGGAACATTAGAGCAGCTAGGGGCAAGGACCCAGATAGTTTGTGGCTGCAGTGAAGTCGGATTCTTGATAACCATACAGGTTCTGCTGGTGATAGTGAAGTGCATTAGTTCAAGACAGGTTCCCTTTGTGAAGCTTAGGCGGCAATCATACGCACAATTAGACCTGCCATAGGCATGAATGCCAGGCAGATTTAAAGGGTGCAATCAGTCAACAACATCTGGGAAGGGCCCTGCAGCCATCAGCAACCCATTCTGCTCCGCTGCAGAAGCAGAGTTAAAAGACACCGGGGGATATCCGGTAGAAAATGGGTTACGACAGGCCACGGACGGACTTTCCCCTGTCTGATCAGTCCAGCATGCTCTCATGGCATCGGGAGGGTCTGATCAGGCCATCCCGACTCTGTGCCGTTGTTCCCCCCCCTTCGCAGTATGCACATAATTGCAAACTCCATAGGGAGCCCTCGGTGCGGAGGTGCAATTAATCAATTCCTCATTTAAGCACATCGGAAACAAGTGGCAAAAAACGGCCCGACTCATCCGCGGTTGCGTCTGATCACGCAGTGGCGGGCTGTGCCCGCAGCTTCCAAGGACAATGTGATTGCGCAACTGTAGGTCAAATTCCTTTGGAGGAAATAGCCTAACTTCTTCCCCTCCATTTTTTCTGGTCTGTGTGACTGCAACCTTAGTCTCAGTATCTTTTCAGATGTATTTAAGACTTATTGCTTCTGTAGGGAGCTCAGGGTGGCATGTGAGGTTCTTCATTTTATCCTCACAACAACTCCATAAAGTAGTTTAAGCTGAGAGTCTGCTACTGGCCCAGGGTCATAGCGGAGTAGGAGCCGAATGTGGTTCTCCTAGGTCCTAGGCAGAATCTGCAGCTATTATAGCACACTAACTCTCCTTTGGTCCTAGACATGATTTCCTATGCACCACAGCAATTATTTTGCTAATACCACCTGTGGTGCTTGGTGAGGCAGAAATTCCTGTTGGGAACTTAGCAATACGAAATGCTCACAGGCAGAAATCCTCGCATATAAAGGGATGTCACAGTGGATACATTATTTAAATTTTGATGTTTCAGGTCTAACTGTATTAGCATATTCTCTTAAATAATAGCTCTTGACCTCCTTGTGGTTTTATTTATTTATTTATTTATTATTCTAGGGCGCCCTCCCCTACGAGCAGGGCTTAGGACGGCTTACAACAGAGATGCACAATAAATATATAAGTTAAAAAAAATTTAAGACAAAGAAAGCAAGCAATAGTCTTTAGTAAAATTTATCAGTTCCAAGATGGCTAGCAATCAGAATTCCTGGTTTAGCAGATCGCAGACCTCCCAGAAGAAACTTGTAAAAGATGGGGGGGGGACACATAAAGAGTAAGAAGGACCTGTCCATACGAGGCAGTTTGGGCCGGGAGCGGGACGGAACGGGGGCGGAGCAAACGGGCACGATCCCACTGCAACATCTGGAAATCGTTGCCTGCCCGTCCCTGTTCCGTCCCAAACGGCGATACCTAGGTGGTTGTATCCCTTGAAGCACCGCAAGCCGGGCCGTGGGATTGGGCGGCGCGTCCTTGCGCCGCCGCATCCTGGCCCCCGGCCGTACTGCGCATGCTCGAGCATGCGCAGTTCGGCAGCCTCCCCCTCCCATCGGACTTTCCTCCCCGGCATCTGATTGTGCCGGGGAGCGATGCGCCGCGGCTGAGGGGATCCGTGGGATCCCGCCGCGGCGTCTCAAGTTCGGTGCGGCTCTGAGTAGCCGTATTTCAGCCATCCCGTGTGGCAGCAGCCGAAGAGTATGAGAGTGCCAGATCACATAATTGTGCCATCACTGTCCTCAACCCCTTGCTATAGCCCCTATCTCATACATGAACATTTTTCATCTGCTGGAAAAAAGACATTCCTTATTTGCTTTGTTTCTAACTTTTAGTCTTTAAGAGTAGTTAATTTATTTATATCAGAAGGACAAATGGAAATTGATTGGGCAGCTGGTTCAAATGTAATTAATGAAACATTCACCTTTGAATGAAAATACTGCTGTTTTCTTAATAAGGTGCTGGCCTTAGTTTATGTGTACTGAAGACCCCGATCCGTTACTGACATGAACAAGTCAAAGTCAGTTTCCTGTTAGAAGGGTCACCACTTCATAATGCTAGTTCACATTTTTGAAAAGGAAAAAAAAGGTTCTCCACACATAGAAAACCAGTGTAGCAGGGATCAAGGAACAATTCCCTAATTTGTTACAAGTATTTTTTTGGTGGTTTTTAACACAGGGGAGCATTAACAATGTGATCCTCCAGCTTCTGAAATCCAGTTTATCACCTCAAGGCTCTGCCACAAGCAAGCCGTATCAGTCCTGTTGATCCTTATCTCATAGATGAAGCCCTGGAGCCCAGCTTTACATTGATTGTGGACCCCCCAGTTCTTCTCTGTTGTTAGTGCCCTGAGGTGATAATGTTCTACTGTGCAACACTGTCACGCAAATTGGTCAAGGGATGCTACCAGGGGTGCCCAGGCATCCCCTCACCTGACTGTTTGACCTGACATGAGGGAACTGAGGGAGGTAAGTGGCTTAACAGGGCAATGAGGATGGCTATTCCTGCCTTGCGTGCAGCGCAGTAGCTGTCAGATAAGCAAAAACAAAAACAAAATGGCAGTCACATAAGCTGACACTACCTTTTTACCATTTCCCCAGATGCTGCAAAGCAAGTACACTTAGCCAAATGAGAACAATTGATTATCATGTCCATTAATGTCTCTGAATCAGAAGATTACAACTAAAAACAGCACAAGCACTGCAGGAACATTACTGGTTTTTGAAAGAAATTGTGGTAGGGGGGGAATAGGCAGAAAACCTTCATTCGCTAATGCCTCTAAATTGCATGCTTTCACATGGTTACCTGACAAATAGTAAATAAGCAGAAGCCTATGGTTGCTATGGTTACCAGCAACAGAATTCTTTGGCCCGTTTTTGTCTTCTAATGTCTGATGGATTTGTTTTCAAGTCAGTATGGACCTCTAAAAGGGACTTTTGAAAGTGCTTTTACTCTTTTCTTTTTTTTGCATTTGTAATTTTCTGAAGTCATGCTTGATCTGAAGGAAATACAGACCGTGTTTGTATTTTTTAGAAAAGTTTTGATTATTTAGAACCATGTCCTCTTAAAAATGTGCCCTTCCTCAGAGATGTGTTGATCTCCGGACTGGCTGCTCCATTTAAAAACAAAAACAAAAAACTAGCACGCCAAGTCTTTGTTTTACCAATAGGCAGTGCTTACTGAAAACAGATCCTGAACACTATAAGAAAAGTGCTGCTCAACATGGCTGCCTTCTTTCGTATTTGACTGCACTTCCTCCTGCCTAGTATCATGTTTAGGGGTACTGACAAATCATGCTTCACTGTTACATGAAGGTACTTGGAAGATGCTCTCTCTTTTTCTACTTCCCTCATGTTCAAAAATCTAATGAAAGACTTCCACAGGAAACTGTGTTTTGCGAATACATCCAAAATACAAACTGTGGATTTTTCTCTTCCCACAAACCAGGATTCCAAACAAGGATTAAGCTAAATTCAGGGAAGACAGTAAATGAGAAGTTGTGGTTTAAGCGTATCAAGAAGCTATAGTTTTCCACAAGCACTACATAAGTGGGAAAAGAGAGGGAGCCATCTTTTTTGTTTGTTTTAACTTATTTAATTTTAGATAAACTAGCTAAGTGGTGCTTGTCACTGCTAGCAAGTCTACCAGAATTTGGTGGTGCGTTCAACCTGATTATGAACTTGGTCAGTGCTACTGCTGCTT